TGTACAACTGTAGTGTTTAATATAAAAATATTGAGTTGACATGTTTTTGTGTATCTTTGAGCTTAATGCATGTCTTAATTAAGCATGGTAGGTTAAAATGTATTTTTTACTCTCAAGTGGAGTTAGTATTTGTGTAGTTTTTGTTTAGTCTTTACAATTTGGAGGGATAGGCCACTAAATTGTTAATTAGGATTTTGCTACTACTTTTGTTTTAATTTTTTGGTGTGTATATTCTATATTATGTGTAAAAAAATATATTTTTTAATTTGCCATATTTTATATTAGGAAGAATATTCTTGGGAACATGTTTTTGACAGTTGATTTGTTTTCACACAACTTGTACATGAGCATGTTGTTTCTCATATTGTGACAAGATATCTGCATATATCTCAGCCATATATATATCATTACCTAATTTTGCCTATTTTTCTTGCATATTAAAGCTAATATTATTTGCATAAAAATAAATAAATACATCTAGGAGCAGATACAAAGCGTCAATGTCTTCCAGTATGTAATGTCTTTATATTTTATGTCAGGTGCATGGTGTAATTTATTTTATTTTATATTATTTTATTTTGGTACTAGCGGAACCACTGAATTAAATCCCCAGCTACATGGTATAATATTTAAAAAGTACAGGAAGGTATCCAATGAAAAGAAAGTCTCCTCTATCCCAGCCACTAGCTCCCTTCCCCGGTCTCTTGTGTATTCTTCTAGAGATATTCTAATCTGTTCCAACTGTGATGTGTCAATGAATAATGGGATGATTTCTGAGAAGTGCATCCCTGGTTGATTTCATGATGGTGAGGACATCAGAGGGCGCTTAAACCAGGAGAGCTATCTTGTCACTAGGCAGCATACTCTTACGGGAGCATTCTCACCTATGTGTTCATCACTGCCCAGATGTTGTACAGTGCATGACTGTAGATTTAAATGTGTTTTTCATATTTATGCATCTAATATACGAATGTATGTTTCCAACTGATAGCAGTTTATTCTGTACTTTGTTATTTTTTCTGTTTTTGCTTTTTTGTAGTAGTAGTATTGGGGACCAAATTCAGGGGTGCTCTACCACTGAGCTTTATACCCAGCCTTTTCTATTTCTTATTTTTTGTAACAGGGTCTCACCAAGTTGCCTTGGTAGGATTCAAACTTACGATCCTCCTGCTTCAGCCTCCCCAAGTGCTGGGATTTGCTTTTACTTAATGTACCTTGCTGATTACTTCATATAAGTACACAAATAACCACAGCTTGTGGAAGGCTGCACTGAATTTCATTGTATTTATATGTTATAACTTACTACTTAACCATTCCCAAGGGTGAGGATTTAGGTAGATTCTAAACAATGCTGTAATGAATGTGCTAGTATGATGCTCTATATTTCACTTATGTAACTTTATTTAAAATTATGGAAATATAACTGTGAGATCAAAGAGCACATGTGCATTTGAATTTTGATAAATATCAGATTACCTCCCACAGTGCCATACTAATTTATGCTCCCACTAGCAGTTCATAAGAAGGCTTCATATTGTCTTGATCTTTTGCCAACACAGCATATTATCCAACATTCTGACCTTTGTCAGTCATACAGGGAAAATAGTATCACTTTGTAATTTTGACTTGTATTTTTCTCATTAAGGGTAGGATCAAATCTTTTTCATATATGTATGAGATGTTTTTATTTCTGTGGATAGAATTTCCAATTCTTTGCCCATTTTTCTGTTGATTTGTTTTCTTGCTTATGCATTTGCTTTGCATATTAGGGAAATGATTTTGTTGTCTGTGGTTATATAAATATAAATATATATATATATATTTCTCAGCTTTTGGTTTTTATTTGACATTATTGGAATTATATATTTAAAATTTTGCTAGGCAGAACTTTATTTCCATATGGTCAGATTTAACCAGATTTATAAGTGTTTTAACATATTTTCTGAGGTTTGAGTGTTAAACCCAAATTACTTAAAGTTAATTTCTATTTTAATGCAATTTGCATTCAATTGAAAATCAAATTTGAGTTTGGAGCCTATAGGTATTCCCTCTATTAGCTTTAGTTAGTGTTTTGTGAACGGAAAGGATTGGACTTTGGTCATTCATACATCCATCCCTCCACCTGTCCATTCCTTAGTTTGTTCTTCAGTCACTCATTCATCGGCACTGGCTGGATGCTGGGAACACAGAGATGAATGGCGGAACCATGCTCTCACTGTCCCACAGAGAGAGAAATGAGTGACCCAGCAGACATTTGGTGTGCTGGGGACTATGATGGAGAACTCCACTGTGCATCCAGGGAGCTTCGAATGCTTCCCCAAAGAGAAGAGGGTTTGGGTATGGGAGGCGGAGCAAAGGACTTCCAGGGAGATGAGGCTTGGACTGAGTCTTGAACGATTAGCAGGAGTTATTCATGCAGAATACCTGGGATAGGGTGGGGTGACACCAGAAGGGAAAGCATTCCTAGTAATGTGGGAAGACCTGAGGCAGCATAGGGCCAGCCAGGGACTGTGTCAGGCATGTTGGTGGTAAAGAATGTGACAGCTCCAGACCATAAAGGGCCTCTCAAGCCGGGTGGTAGCTGCCCTGTCATCCCTGACCCCAGGGGTCCTGAATAGCCATAGAGGGCTTCTAATCAGGGCACCAACATGTACAGATTTGCTTTTGTAAGGAGGATAGAGTAATTGTTTTCCAGTTGTTTTGAAATGTTTTCCGTGAAATGTGTTATAAGGAGTAGCACAGTAAATGCTTCATTGGAATGTCACGTAGTTTAATGAACATTATCACTGTAGTCAAACCTCTCCCCAATGGCGCTTCCCTGTGTCCCCTAAATGCTGCTAATGGGTGTGTACAACGGCCCAGCTCTTTGGAGATCAGTCTAGTAGCATTCAGTGCAGTGGCAGGTGTGCACATCCCATATCACCTGACAGATAATCTACCTCTAGGTGGTGGGATTGCCTGCATAAGGTAAGCACAAGGTGGCATTATTACCTGCACAAATAAGATGAATATAGGGAAGTTCATAGCAATTCTGTTGGTAACAGTGATGGAAAATTCACTCTCCATTAGCAGAAAAGTGAATGAACCCATTGTAGCATTTTTATGCCATAGAGTACTATTGTGAAAATAAAAGCCTAGAATCATGTATGTTTACAAGGATAGTTTTTTTTAAAAAACAATGTTGAGTGAAACAAAACCACAAAGCAAGAGCCAGAAGGATACATGCATCACACCAACATTTCTGAGGTTTAGAAACATGCACAATGGTTTATATTCTTTTGGAGACATAGAGTCGTTTAGTAAACATATAAACACATGCATGGGAAGGATAAGCACCAGGTCCCAAAAGTGGCTATATGGGGTGTGGGCAGAGGGACAGACAGTCTGGAGAAAGTTCACAGAGCCTGGGTGATGGGTGTTTTCTTTCTTAAGTGGAGTGGGGGTACATGCTTGTTTCTCATATTATTCTTTCAAATATTTTAATATAACATTTAACCCAATATTTTCCAGTCATTTTAACATGTAATTGATATAAAAATTATTAGTGGGGTGTTTCACATTGCTTTTCCCAATTAAGTCTTTGAAAGCCCAGTTTTCACTCTATACTCATGACACATCTCACTCAGAAAGACCCATATTTCAAGGGCTTGGTAGCCATTAGGTGACCAGTCGCTATCACCCTGGACCTCTCAGGTGGAGGTCCTATCAGGTGATCTGAGATTCCTTTTGAAACCTGAAATTCTCACAGTGAGGTGGAGGAGGAGGAGGAGAAGGACAAAAATGAGGGCAATAATAACTGACATTTTCTGAGCATTTCCAGGTCTTAGCACCTCATATTATCTCATTTAAATCTCACAACAACCCGGTGGGCTACTTGTGTTATTGTGATAAAATACACATAAAATTTTCTATTTCAACCATTTCAAGTGCCTCATATTATTCTTTATACTATTTTGTATGAACAAAATTTCTCATGATACTCGTGCGTCCAGTGTCCTGGCTGCTCAGGACTCATCTGGTCCTTCCTGGGACCCGCCTTCCTATCTCACTGCTGGTACCCTGGACATCAGCTCAGCAGTATGTGTGCGTCACTACCAGCTAGCCTGCAGCCTTTTGCTGGGGACTCTGCCTAGAGTCCTTTTCAGGCCACTGTAATGGGGAACTAACAGTTCTCTCACAGAGGAGTGGTAAGAGTACAGACTCTGGTGGCAGAGGCCATGGTCTGAATCCTGCACTGACCTTACCTTGTCAACCTCTCTAAGCCTCGGTTTTCTCCAGAGTAAAATGGGAATAACAGTACCTAACCTCATAGGGCTGAGAGGACTCGGTGAGCTAAAGTATGTGAAAAGTTTGGAAAAGTAGCAACGAGGAGGAGGAGGAGGAGGAGGACAGGGATGAAGAAGGGTTTTGACAGTGATACAAATTTCAGTTTTCCTGAGGTCTGAGAACATTTTATTTTGTCCCTGCAAATTGTTTTGCTCTACACTCAGAGGTGTAGACAGTAGACCTCATTAAAAACAGCTCTATCTGGTTTTATAGTAGGGAAAGAAATCTCCAACTTAAGAGGGGAGCATTATATATTCTAGGATTATTCCAGGAATGATTTGTAAATATTTTCCAAGCTGTGGATCATGATCCATTAGTGGGTAATGAAATCAATTCAGTAGGTCATTCCATCATGCATTTAATACAGTAAAAGAAAAAAATGATAATTAAATGCAAGGGAAAATAGCTGAGGGCTTGCTGGGTATTAAAAGTCAATATGGTGTTTTGTGACACATTTGTTTCAGCGTTACAGATACATATTTATCTACACACGTGCATATTGCATTGCAATGTAAATGAGTTTCACATTGAGGTTTTTTGCCAAAAAAGTTTGAAGACAGCAATTTAGAAGCTGCAGTTTCAGTAGGTTCCTGAGAGATGCCATTTCCCTCGTGAGTCTCCATTTAGACACTGGGTAGCCTCCGTGTCTGAAGCTTGTCCTCTCTCTCCCTCAGACTCAGCCGCAGACTCAGCCTCCCAAGGCCATCTGGACCTCACACAGCTCATCGGCGTCCCGCTGCCCTCCTCCGTGTCCTTTGTCACTGGCTATAATGGCTTCCCAGCTTACAGCTTTGGACCTGGCGCCAACATAGGCCGCCCAGCTAGGACCCTCATCCCGCCCACCTTCTTCAGGGACTTCGCCGTCAGTGTCCTGGCCAAGCCCAGCAGTGCCCAAGGCGGGGTGCTTTTTGCCATTACCGATGCCTTCCAGAAGGTCATTTACCTGGGCCTGCGGCTCTCGGGTGTGGAGGATGGCCGCCAACAGGTCATCCTGTACTACACGGAGCCTGGCTCTCATGTGTCCCACGAAGCTGCTGTTTTCACGGTGCCGGTGATGACCAACAAATGGAATCACTTTGCCTTGATCATCCAGGGGGAGGAAGTGACCCTGCTCGTGGATTGTGAGGAGCACAGCCATGTCCTCTTCCAGCGGTCCTCCCAGCCTTTGGCTTTCGAGCCCAGCACAGGGATCTTCGTGGGCAGTGCAGGTGCCACAGGGCTGGACAAATTCACTGTGAGTTCAAGTCCACTAAATCCCAGCAATTATGATTGCTATTATTTTATTCTGATATCCTTAAAAGAGCATGTTTGTTATAGGGGGACAAGCACTGTGACTGGAACTCAAAACCTCCATTCCAGTGCTCCATTTTTAACTTAGCCTGATGATTTTAGACAGTACTGGGTTCTCTGATCCTCTCTGTACACAAAGATAAGAAAACTTACCCTATGGACTCACAGAGTCAAGTAAGATATGTGAAAACATTTTCAGTTTAGGCTGTGATTTAGAAAGAGTAAGGTTAATTATGTCCCAAAATGATTTTCTCTTTGGATATGGGTAACCATGCTCTCCTGTCAGCCTGGAAGGCTTTCCAGACAGGACTTGCCCGAAGCTTCCTCTTTTCGCAGTGTCACCCACTTAAGTAATTTCCACTGAGGTAGACAAATCTAGAATACTGGGGTGGGAGGTAGCTTTTCTCTCTTCTTTTGAACAATGTGCCCTGAAACAAAACATCAGAAAACTGATTCATTATCTGAATGGGCTTTCAGGAATAGGCTGTTCCACAGAAAATTGCCAAGTTCCCGTAGGTGTTTTGGTCAGTCAGCACATGAGTTTACTGCAGTCCTCATTGGTGAACGAGGCAGCGCTGTGGGGCAGAGTGTGTGTTTATCTGCAGAGCAGTGGAAGGCACTGGAGCATGTTTAGGACCTCGAGTCCAGTGGTAATTTTACCGGCTCCCTTTGGTATCTTGGGAATTGGTGGGAGTGGCTGCCACAGCTCTCCTTGGGACAAGACGCTCACTCTCTGGGAGAGGGAGCCGTGCATGTTTCAGCACCAGCTGCTGACCAGGTGGGCCCTGGGGACATTGAGGAGGCTGCTGTGGCCACTGGCACAGAGCTGTGCAAGGACCTTCCCACAGAAGGGGGCTCCTATCACAGTGCTCCACAGGGATTCCCCAGAACAGGGAGGGGGCCAACAGGTGGAGTGGCTCTCCTGTCACAGCGGCAGGCAGCGCAGTCTCCCACCTGTCCTTCCCCTGGCTCTCTGTCACACAAATGCTCCCTTGTCCCCTGGCGTGTGCACTGCAGACATGTAACCCAGGGCTCCTCTTCCTTCTGCTTTTCCCCAGGGGTCCATACAGCAGCTGACCATCCATGCTGACCCCAGGGTTCCGGAAGAGCTGTGTGAAGCCCAGGAGTCGTCGGTGAGCACTCTGCCCCTTCACGGTGGCCCTGTAGCCCCAGCAGTCACCAGCCAGGGAAGGGCTGGGTGCCGGGCAATTCTTCCTCCCCCACGTCATGGAGTCTGTCAACCCTCTCATTTTGGCCAGTGCTGCCTCGGGCCTATTTTGGGCTTTTGGCTTTTTTTCCCTTTTTTTTTAAAGAGCTTCAGCCCTCTCTTGGGTGTAGGGGTTGTGTGTCTTATAAGGTGTTAAGCTCTTCTGTGGCAGTCAATGGCCTGGTTTCCAGCATTCCTGCCAAGAAGGGTGTCAGAATTCTAAAATCAGAGTTAGAACTCTAAGCTATTCTGGGTGTAAATTCCTATAAAAACGAAACTAAATTTAGGTTAGTTTTATGCCTGGCAAGTGAATCAGTGCCTAAACTGGGGGAGGGGTGGGCTGGGAAAAAGATGGCTGGCTCCCTTCCTCCTTCCTTCCCACCAGGATTCACTGAGTGGCTGGTGGGTGACAGCCCTGGGTGGATGCTGGAGATAAAGGGATAAGCTGGAAACTGCCCCTTTCCTCTAGCTACTGGCGCACACTGACCCAAATGCAGGGACAGGGGTGAAGGACTGAAACTCCAGAAGGTCCTCACACCCAGCTCACACTCAGTAGGCCAGGGAGCGGAAAAGAGGAAGCAGGAGGAGCTTCGGGCAAGTCCTGTCTGGAAAGCCATCCAGGCCGACAGGAGAGCATGTTTCCAAAGCTGGAAGCTAGCAGAGGGTGGCATTTCCCTGTTGTTCTTCGGGTGGCGTCACCCCCAAAACAAATCCTTGGTTGATTTCATTAATTTAGTGTTATTTTAAAATGCAGTCAGTTCCCCCAGAGGTAGGCTTGGTTCTGTAGGAGCATCTGTGCTCCTTGAGCCTGTGACCTGGCCTGGCATTGGCAGGAAAATGGCTGAAGGGCAGCTTGTCAGTCACTCATTTCTGCACTGCCATTAGTACTGAAGAAGTAGAAATAACTCAGGAACCCAAGAACCAGGGACTGGCTGCAAAACTCATAGCAGGCAAGTGACTTGGCTGCCTCTAGGGGCCGGTTATAAAGATCAGGCAACAGCAGGATGTCTCAGGATGTAATGGTTCCCAATGTGTATTCCAGTGACAGCCTTGCAAAGCGTGGAAGCCTCTCTCTCTCTCTCTCTCTTAATAACTCAGGAACCCAAGAACCAGGGACTGGCTGCAAAACTCATAGCAGGCAAGTGACTTGGCTGCCTCTAGGGGCCGGTTATAAAGATCAGGCAACAGCAGGATGTCTCAGGATGTAATGGTTCCCAATGTGTATTCCAGTGACAGCCTTGCAAAGCGTGGAAGCGTCTCTCTCTCTCTCTCTCTCTCTCTCTCTCTCTCTCACTCACACACACACACACACACACACACACACACACACACACACGTACGCACATACAGTTCTGCTGTAGGAGCAGAGCCTCCCTGTAGGTTCATTGAGGTCCCTGTTGCCCCAGTCCCTCTGTAACCTGTGTCTCTGCCCGGCATGGGGCATGGTTTGTCTCTGCACAGGCATCAGGAGAGGCCAGCGGACTTCAGGAGACCGACACTGTCGCTGAGATCCTAGAGGCTGTCACTTACACTAAAGCTCCTGTGAGTACTGGCTGGGTCAGCTGCTCGGGGCCAGTGTCCAGGGCCCCAGGTCTGAAGTTTCTGTGTTCCAGTAGGAGCCTAATCATTGGATCTTCTGCGGGGGGGTTAAGTGGGTTCTGGCCAGTGGGCATTTGCAAGCTCCCTCGGTGAGCTGGTGTACCATTTACCCAGGACCCTGTGCACACAGCCACAAGAGCGCTGCCCCAAGACACACGTTATGCTCCATGGCTTTCTAGCTCTGTGGCCTTGGATAACTTACTCAACCTCTCTGAACTTCAACTTTTCTTCTACAGAACGGTAATAATAATAGACATATTTCACAGGGGTGCTGGAGAGTTAGATGAGGCAGTGTAGGGATGAGTCTCAGCCCAATGCCTGAGACCAAGGAAGGGGCCCCAGACAATGGCCATTGCTACATTTCCTTGGGGCTGTAGCTCCAAAGGCAAAGTTGGAGCTCTCACTCCTAGAGCTCCCCTTTACACCAGGGACCCCCAGGGAAGGCAGCCCTCCTTTCGGAGTGTGCGCACCTACCTCCTGGACACTGTGATTAAGCTGAGGAAGTGCCTTCAAAAGCCCCGAGTCAGCCTGGGGACGGTGAGGAACCCCATTTTTCACAGGAGCAACACTGAGCACAGAGAGCAGCAGCTAATCCCCTGAGATGGCCTGGATCACTCTGAACTCACCTCTGATAAAAGAAAGGAGGCCGATGGAGAGAAGGCAGAGGCTATGACTCATAGACCTTGGGTGACAGGGACTCAACCCCGGTCTGACCAGGTTTCCAAGTGGCCCCCTCTCACCAGACAGATTTGGGGGAGGTGTCAACCAGAAGGGGTATGCAGTGAATCCCTAGACAGCCTGAAGAAGTAAAAAAGAGAAGTTGGTGGGTGATCTGATGGGTGACTTCATTGGAGAAATTAATTTATCCACAAAATGCTAAATAAACTAAGAAGAAAGCCTGTGTCTGTGGCCATCGCCACATCCCCCAGGCCAGAAAGAGGTGCACACTAGAGGTAATTAATCCCTTTGGGGTCCTCTGGGGTACCCCACACACTTTCTTACTTTTTTCTCAGATTCCCAAGCCCCACTTTGCTGAGTGGTTCCTAAGAGAACTGGTGCAGATCAGAGTCCCACAGGTGTGGGTCCCACTCACTAGCTGTTGCCCTTCTGCAGGTGGCAACTTCTCTAAGTCTCAGCTTCTCCCTGTTACAGTGGAGGGTACCTGCTTCATGGGGTTAGCATGAGACGCAGATGAATGCACTCATGCAAAACCTTTGGACTGTTCCTGGCCCAACAGCTCTGGGCAACTGCTCTCACTGTGGTGACTACCGAGTGATCAGCTTTGTGAGGATTAAGCCAAGCTCAGGGCTGGACTCAGTGCAGGGCCCAGTGCCGAAGCTTCTTTCCTCTTGAGCCCCCTCTTGCCACCTACTTCAGAGGGGAAGAGCAATGAGCACTTGGCTCCTGGCCGTCCAGCCCAGAGGTGGCAGTGCCAGGTCCTGGGCTCCAGATCAAGAGTGCTGTCAGTCACACCACTTGAGCTGGGGACTTCCCCCTCTGTCGTCCCTTGGAAGAGCTTCGTGGCTCTCTTTGGCAGCCACCCACCGAGGATGGGGAATTTCCCTCTTCATCTCAGACAGTCCCCTCCCTGCTCTGTCTGGCTTCTTTGTGGGGAAGAATCTCACTTCCCCATCCTGAACATTTTCTTCCTGCGACCCTCCAAGACTTGAGCTACCACCAGTAAAATGAACCAGGGACTTTCTGTGGGGCTGGGAGTTAAAAATCAGCCCTTTTTTGCTCTCTTCTCCATTTAGGGTGAGGGCTTCTTTGCCTTTCTGGAAAATTCTATCTTATGTAGAACTAGAATGGGTCTCAGCCCTGGTCATGCCTCCTAGTCACCTGTGCCTATGGGGTGGGGGGCTTTTTTCTCAAAGATTCTTGCCTGGGCTGCTGATCTGGATGTTCAGTAGGTCTGGAGTGAGGCCCGAGATTCTGCATTAAAGAAATGCCCCAGATGATTGCCAGGGTGTCCATTCCAACACCCCTGAACCTTCAAGCTTTCCGGCACCCCAGCTGGGGCTTTCTCCATGCTATCTTCCATGTCTTGACACCTGTGGTTTCCTTGGCCTACAGTCACCCTCCCCGACTCCTGCCTAGCAGATGCCTCCCCACCCTCTGGACCCAGTTGGAATCATGTCCTCCTCAGAGCCCACTCCTGCCCAGCTCTGTCCGCTTTGGCTCTCACCTCTGTCCTTCCGTGTGTCATATTAAGTCACCGTTATTTGTGTCTGGTCTGTGCTCTCTTGCGGTCTGGGAGTGCAGGGGCTACACCTTACCTCCAGGGTTTAGCACAGAGCAGGGCTGCAGCACGTGTGTGTGAAGTCAGCACATCTGACCACGTGAAGAGGAGTGTGGGCTCAGAAAATCACACTCTTTTGATAACTTCAACAGTCTTAAGTCCTAGATTCCACATGTTTTGCTTCGTCCTAGGAAACAATGGTTCCCCATGCATGTTACCCTGAAAGACACCAGTCATGTGCCTGGGCCCCTCAGTCTCCCCACAGAGGGTCAGCATACGAGAAGTATGTTCTGCCCTGGATCAGGGGCCAGGTGGAGTGTCTAGGATTTGCCAAAGAAGCTTTTTGATGGACAGGCTGGAGTCACTGGTGTCACTGAGTGCCACTGCAGTGTCCTCCTGTGCTCCCGCAGCCTTGCCCATCCCAACACCCAGATGCCTTTGGAAGTAGCTCTGTCTCTGGCCACCAGTGGCCTCACTCCAGGCCAGAGACAGGTTTTCCCGGGCTCCCTTGGCACATTCAGGTAACTGTGGCGATGTGCCTTCTCCACGCAAGGGGAGAAGCACCCTCTAGGGCAGGGTTCCTTACCCACCTGCCCCGAGGTGAGGCATGGGGAAGTCTGTCTGAGACGTGCCTGCTCTGCCTCCAGCCTCACCTAGTTCCTGCCTCGTGGGCTTCTTCAGTGCACCCACCCTCCTCCTGGCCTGGACTTCAGCTCCCCCTGCTCACTGCTGCGGAGACCACAGTGGGCCGAGCCGCTCAGCAGCCTAACGCCTCACAGCACTGTCCCTCCTCTCTTTCTTCGGGCCTGTCTCACCAGTGACCTAGCCCCTCTTCACTCTGTGGCCCTCTTCCTCCAGACCTTAGTTTTTGCCGCACCCAGGGTGTCATGCCCTGACCTCATTTGTTTTCAGAAACTGCCCACTCATCCAGGCCGGGCTCCTGCTGCCATCCCTCCCTTCTCCACCCTGGAGACTTCACAGTACAGTGCATTCAATGGTGATTTTCTCTAAGTGTTGATGTTCAAAGTGATTGTTTTCTATTTCCGTTCATCTCCACTTATAACTTTTTCAGAGATGCATATGGAATATTTGAGTACTAAAAATAAATGTGTGCTGAGCATTTCTACCCTGGAATATTTATTATTGTTCCCATTGTACTGAGGAGGAAGCCAGAGCTCTGTGAGATTATAGGACTTGCCCCCACATAACTTAGCTAATAAGTAGAGAGCTGGATTTGACCCAAGTCTAAGAACTGAGCCAGTAAATCCTAAATTATGGGACTCTAAGAATCTCTGTGTTCTAGATTCTGACAAGGAGGACATAGCCTTCTGTTATAAGGATAGATAAACGATTCTCTGGTAACAAATTAACTCTGAAATCTTAGTATCTTAACAAGGCAGAGGTTTGCTTCTTATTCACACCACAAGCCTAACATTGGATCCTTTTACTCAAACATCCCCACCCAGTCTCTGGCAACTTCAGGTTTAGAGAGTGATGAGACCATTTGAGTGCTGACAAACCTTGGTCTCACAAGCTGCTCCTGGGGTCTGGGGGTGTCCAGAAAGTTTAGAACCTGCATCAGGGTTTCTGCCTGGATCTCTGATTGTCATATTTCCAGCTGCTGGGGTTTTGTTGGTTTTTCCCTAGCTGGTAAGGTTGGTTAGGACATTGGGTGGCTGGACAGGGCTGGTGTTTCCTTGGAAGGAACCTGCACACATCTTTCTCTCCCATGGACCGTCACCACCAGTGCACCAGTAGGATTGGTTTTATATGGCATTTATAAGAATGTTCATTCATTCATTCCCTCACCTCTGTGCTCACCTGGGATTCTGGGGTCACAGAAATGTGGTCCCTGTGCTCAGAGGCCTTTGGCTGAGATAATCAGTTTCCTTTTAAATGGAATGGGATAGACTACCTGTAGTGTGCACCTCTTTCTGGCCTGGGAGATGCAGCAATATCCAGGGACAGTGGTGTGGGCTTTCTTCTGGGTTTACTTGGCATTCTGTGGATACATTAATTTCTCCAATGAGAAAAAAAATTTTTTTGCTTTTACTTCTAAGTAAATCCTCTGGGTCTTATTTTTCCTCCCTGCAGCCTAAAGAAGCAAAAGTTGAACCCATGAACATACCTCCAACCTCAACCTCTCCCCCGGAGGACATGGAGCTCTCTGGTGAACCTGTACCAGAAGGGACCCCAGAAACCAACTTAAGCATCAGCCAACACAACAGCCCTGAGCGAGGCAAGTCCTGAGGCACAGTCCTGGGTGGTGGCCTCTTGCTGAGTGACTACTGTATGTTCAGCCTGAATTGCACCTGTAACATATAGCCTCTTATTTAACCTTCCCTTCCTTCTTCAAGGAAGGAATGATAATCGTCCTCGCCTTATACACAGGATGGGAAAATTGAATCACAGAAAAGTCATCCAGCCAAGACTACACATCCTGGAAATGGTAGAACTAGCATCTGATCTCAGATACCTCAGCTTTTAACCCCCAGCCTCCTCCTCTTCTGGGGTTTAACAGAATAGCTTATAATAATTATGCTGTTTATTGAATGCTTACTGTGTGCCAAGTGTTTGCATCCTTCCTCTCCAATCCTGACAGCACACCTCAATTGACATTATGAGCTACTATTTTATGGGTTGAAGAAACCAACATTTGGGAAGGTTGAGTGGTGTACCCACAACCACATGGGCTAGAGCCTTGGCCTGACTCCAAAACCCTCTCTGACTCACAGAGAATCAAGCCAGCTAACTGATGGCCAGAGATGAACAGAGACTGCTCTGTCCATCCAGCAGGTCAAAGGCAGGCCCTGGGAGGACAGCAGGCCTCCTGGCTCCTTGTCCAGGGCTCTGGCACCTGCCTAGTGTTCTTTCAACCCTGCAGAGGAACACCGGTGAAGCCCAGAGATCAGGTACGGTTCCCCACACAGAAGCTTAATGTGTACCCAAGGTGTGAGGTCATCGGCATCTTCTGCCTTTTTCCGGAGGGTGGTTGTTTCAGACCATAGTTGCAGCCAGTTCCAGAGCTCTGAGATGTAGGACTAAGGTCCTTCCTACCAGCCCCTTTCCTAGTAGCAACAATAACTCAAAATGGCCATAGTAGGGGTTAGTTGAGCAAACTGTGTTACTCATACATCCACCAGCCCACATCCTGGTGATGTGGAGGCTTAATGGCTCAGAGACATACTCATGGTTTATTCCAGCAGAAAAGCAGAGTTCAAAACTCTGTGTGCCATGATCCTCATTTTGAATATGTTATTTATGTCTATGTCTGTTTCTATATTAGCTATGTAGAGCAATGTATATATATATTTGATACATTTACATATTAGAACTACTATTCAACAAAATGTTATAAGAACTTATCTCTGGATGGAAGGATTATGGGAGGTTTTAATTGTCTTTATTGAACTTCTATATTTTACAAGTCTTTTACAATAATTATCATTTTTCTTTTTGCTGATGCCATCAATTAATGAATATTATCATGAGAGTTAAACTTGGGATGTCTATGGGTAAGAGATGGGTTAGGAGAGTAGAAACAAATGAGTAATAGTTTAATAAAGCTGCCACGAAACCAAGGAGTGAAAGTGTGGCTTTGGAAAGCCTGCTGGGCAGGAGACCTGGATGGTTTGGATGGAAGCCTTTGCCCTGAGCCCGGGGGAAGCAGTAAGCATTCCAAAGCCTTGGGTTCCTTAACCCAGAGCTGTGAGTGTTAACAGCCAAGCCCTCGTTCCTCAGTGGGGAACAGATTGAATGGGCTGTGGTCCCCTCAGTCCGCTCAGATCCTAGCAGTGGTTTGTGAATCCCAAATTCTGATCTCCTGGGCAAACTTGGGATCTCTGAAAGGGAGGGTCTTTCATAGTCCCAAGAGAGAGTAGCTGTCCTGTGCTGGCATCAGCCTTACTCTATCTATCCGCCCACAATGCGCCCGAGGGAGTCCACGGGAGCTGGCTGATACATCCCCTTTCTTCTTGTTAGGTAGACAGCCAAGATGTGGGGAGAGAGAACCTGTGCCCCAAGGCTGCTCCTGGCTAAGGGAAACGCCCCAGTATTTGTATTTTAGGCTTCCTTGATACCGCTCAAACACTCCTTTTGGTGTCAGGTCTCGGGGCTGGGGGCCCGCTGGCTGTCTGCACAGCACCCCCTGGTGCTCAGAGCGGGGAGCACGCAAACGTGCGGTAGAGGCCGGAGTTTTGTGCTCCAGAGGAGAGTTCACCATGACCTCCTACGTTGTCGGGGCGGTGGGGTCGGCGTGAGGGCAGCGTCTGTGGATAGCGTCTGACATGGAGACAGACCTGTCTAGCTTCCCAGCCACTCTCTGTGGAACCTTATTCCTCCTGTGCAGAATAGGGTTAATAACTAAGAAGGTGTTAATGTGGCCACAGAGCAGGACGCAGGCCGGAGGTTGATAGCGAAGAGGCTAAAACCATGAGGTTCTCCTCCTGGCTTTACCCCCTCAAGCCTGGTGGTGGGATGGTTCTTGTAAGAAGGAACAGACTAGCAGGAAAATGGAAAGAACGCGCGTGTGACAAGCTTGGCCAGCCCAGCCCTCACAGGCATACATTCATTTTAATATAATTTCTTTTTCCTGGCTTTTGGACTCCATTTGTTTTTTGTTTGTTTGTTTTTGTTTTGCTTTGTTTTGTTTATTTTTTCTCATTGAGTTTATTGGTACATTTTAGGTATACAGTCCAGTTACATTCATCATTGGGATCTTACCTTTACATTGAGACAGACCTGTCTAGCTTCCCAGCCACTCTCTGTGGAACCTTATTCCTCCTGTGCAGAATAGGGTTAATAACTAAGAAGGTGTTAATGTGGCCACAGAGCAGGACGCAGGCCGGAGGTTGATAGCGAAGAGGCTAAAACCATGAGGTTCTCCTCCTGGCTTTACCCCCTCAAGCCTGGTGGTGGGATGGTTCTTGTAAGAAGGAACAGACTAGCAGGAAAATGGAAAGAACGCGCGTGTGACAAGCTTGGCCAGCCCAGCCCTCACAGGCATACATTCATTTTAATATAATTTCTTTTTCCTGGCTTTTGGACTCCATTTGTTTTTTGTTTGTTTGTTTTTGTTTTGCTTTGTTTTGTTTATTTTTTCTCATTGAGTTTATTGGTACATTTTAGGTATACAGTCCAGTTACATTCATCATTGGGATCTTGTACCTTTACATGACGGGTCTTGATTCTCATTTTTTCCCCTTATCCCTGCCCTCCCCTCACCCCTCCTCCCCTATCTACAAATATTTTATTTCCATTTTTTTCATTTTTTTAATTGCAAGGAAATATGTGTGTGGGGCAGCAATTCAGTCAACACATAGTCATATGAATAAAAAAATAATAGTTTCCTTCTCTCCTTCCTTTCCTATCCTGCAAAAAAACAGTAGTATTATATGTGATGCCGAAGCAAGCACAAGAAACCAATATTGAGCACTGTGGCTTAGCTAAGTGTGTGTATAAATATATAGACTCATGTCCATACTTACTATATATTATATAATTATTATAGACCACGAATATGTTGTAGACTAATTATGTATAATGATAAAATGTGTATACCCATATAATATTTTTCTGTTTTACAAATATAGAACCACACTGACACTATCTTTTGCTTACTGTATGCCCAGAACTATCCTCAATGCCTTTCGTGCGTTAATTTATCCTCCTCAGAACAGCCTTAAAAGGTAGAAATTATTATGATCCCCTGTTTGCAGATGAGTAACTTGAGGCATAGGAGCTGACACAGATGTATTCCTGGTAAGTGGCAAGGCAGGATTCCAGGCAAGCAGAAGGTGCCAGAGTCACTGGTGGAAACCACCAAGACCTACTCCCTTACTATATTATCCTGCAACTTGGTGTTTCCCCTCTTAATTCTGTGTTACCGTATTACAAACATCTTTCCAAGCTAGTGGGTGAAGAGCTAGCTCATTCTTTTCCAAGACTGAAAACCGTAGTTAATTACAGAATACCTGCTTCCTGTAGGGTCCGGCGAAATCCTCAATGACACACTGGAGCGAGTTCACACTTTGGATGGTGATGCCGTTGCTGACCTTGGCTCAGGAGACAGGATGTCCCTTGGTGCTGCTGAAGAACAGGTAAACGAGTGGTAAATTGCATTTGATAAGTCAGTAGTGAACTTCTTTGTTTATTTCGTACTGGATGGTAGATTTTGATGGGCACTGGAGAGAACCATAAGGGTTTGATTGAAAGTCGTCAAGACTACTGTCTATCATGGTAGGGCAGAGGCAAGAGTCAAGGGCTCCAGGGATACACAAGGAGTGGTGAAAGAACCACAGCCTCAGCCTGTGCTCATACCTGCCTAGTGATGAATCCTCTTCCTTGCTGTGGTAGCCACCTCCCTCCAGATCCATCGTAAGGAATACGGTCTCCCCAGTCCTCTCAGTGCTTCTGAGACAGAAACCTATCAACGGCAGGTGTGTCCATGCTATTGTTCTATAGTTGGCTTTTACACCTGCAAAAGTAGCTTTTGCAATGCTGGACATGGTGGTGTGCGAAAATAAAGCCAGTGACGCTTCCTTGTAATAACTTCCTCACCTCTCCCCTCCCTTCCCCTGGATCTGGATGCCCCCTCTTTCTCCTTTGCCCCCTTCTTCCCCTGAAAATATTCACATACCAGTCCCTATGTCTCCCACATTCTGAATGCATGTCCCACTCACCAAATGGCTTGTAGTGGGATGGGGGACACTATGAAAGTTCTGTCCAAAAGAATTCTTCCCCTCCTGTCAGTCAACCCCACAGTACATTCTGTACCTTTTCTTACATGGTCTGCAGGTAGGGGATGGGCTGAGGCAAGTAGAACTGCTGTCATTAGGGCCTCTTAGCAGGCCCCCTGAGGGGCCTGGCCACTTTCACCCAGTGGGAGTTACCTGATGCCTATGAAATTATACTTGTATTTAGGGCTTTAGCTGACCTGAGTCAAAGAAAATCTCATTTGGTATCTTCCAACTGGCTTGTCTTTGTTTGTTTGTTTTGTTTTGTTTTATAAGTCTACAAGGATTTGATACATTCTGTGAAGAAAGGGCTCTGAAGTCAAATAAGTTTGGGAAATAGTTCACTCTGTCTTCCCTTTTTTATAGGCTCCTAGGGGCCCTGCAGCAAGGAAATCTAGCTGACTTTGGTTTATTTGTTTAGCATACAATGGAACTACTTTTTTGAAGAAAGAAAAAAACACAACTTTAGAAAACAGAGATAAAACACAGTCCCTTTGGTGATATTGTAGCCTAAGTTGCTCTGTTTCCATTTTCTCCACTTGCTGTGCAACCTTCAGAGAATCTGCCTGTTCCTTGCCCAGGGTGATGTGGGTCACAGGGTTGCATGAATTAATGGAGAGATATGAAAGAAATGGCTGCCTCCGAATGGAGAGGGCATTGACCGTCTAATGAACAACTGAGACTCTAAGTCTAGCCCGGCATGCACACAAGTTTATTAGGGGTGACTTACAGCTGGGTAGGCTGCAGCACCACTGAAGTACTCAGCCCTCCTTTCTGAAGCTACTGGTTTTAGAGGGCAAATGCAGAGGTGGAGCAAGGAGGGTCCTCGGGAAGAGTGGCGCATACTCTTTTCCCATCCCCTCCTTCGCAGGAAACTCCCCCAGTCTCAGCAAGCGCTGCTGGCCATGGTAGTGGGTGAGCATGGCACACAGCCTCAGCGCCTGGTGGAGCCCACTGGGCTGCCACCCTGGAGGGGCCACTGCAAGAGGGACTCACGTTGGCTAGGGTCCTGAGGACAGTTCCCACGACACAAGGAAAGAGGGAAAGGAGTGTCAGGACTGGACAAGGCTGAGGAGGACAGAGATGCCACTGGCACATCTGTGAGACACTGCCACAGGAAAAGACATTGTCCGGATGTGCTGATGGCAACTTAGTGGAGGCCTCAGGAGGCTCCCGTGTCTAGGCAGCCACATCCAGCACTGGGGAGCGGGGCTGACTCAGGAGACAGTGACCTCCTAAGACAGAGGTGCCTGGGCATTTACTCCTGTCCCTGAGTTCTGCAACTCTGGGCTGGCCTGGAACGAGGGTGAAGTCAGAGACATTGGAAGAAGTTGCACAGATACAGGTTCAGGAGGGCTCGGGCGGTCTCTTCTCTCCAGCCATGGGTGTGTTCCCTGGGGCTCCGGGCACATTGACATGGTCTTTTGTGATGTCCTTGTTTCCAGGGATCTGCAGCAACAACAACAGAGGAGGATGAGGTGAGCGTCAGCACAGCCCGGGAGGCAAAGGTCAGCAGCGTGCCCACTGCAGTACCAACCCTGGCCATGTCCACCCTGAACCCTCAGGCAGGGACCACTCCAGTAAGTAGCCTCAGTGCACACCCACTTTAGCCATTTTGGGGGAGGTGAGGTTGTCCTGGTGCAGCAGTGGCTGCAAGGTGCATAGGGAAGCTGTGTGTGGCTGAGTCTGCTGGGGTCTGAGTAGGAGGCCAGAGCAGGAGGTGCTGCATCGACCAGCAGGTGTTTGCAGAGCACCGCATTGTGCTGGGCACTTGGCCTAGTTTCAGGTACTCATGGCAAATAGGAAACACAGTGGTAAGAGGTGAAGAGGAAACTTGGGGTGCTCTAGGAGCACAGTACAGGGGCCCAGACTCAACCTTGGGGGTCTGGGAGATAGAAGGCGAGCCTGGAGGGAGGGTGAGTAGGAGCAGCCGAGCTGCCGGCAGTGTGACAGGGCTCCAGAAAGGGGCCAGCAGGAGCAAAGGCCTATGAGTCTCAGAGGAGCCAGAGAAGCATGCCCAGCCCCAGGAGTTGGCTGTGAGGCACGGAGGGGGCGATGGGGCTGGAGAGGCTCTCAGACCAGGAGGGCTTTGGGGGCCCTGCTTAGGAGCCCAAAAGGATCCTGCAGAAGTCAGGAGCCACCTGGGTAGGACACAACGGAAAGGTGTAGGCAGATTGGAATTCTAGAAAGATCACCCTGATTTCCAAGAGGGAAAGGATGGGAAAGCCAGTGTAGACTTGGAGATGCGCACAGAGGCTGTATCCCAGCCAGGGAGAGCGGTGGTACCAGCCGGCTCCAGGGCCTGACCCACCAGGTAACATTTTGCTGCAAGTCCTGCCGTGACACACTGAAAAGTGTCCATTGAAGTTATAAATGTGGCTCTGAGTAATAACACGGTGAGAGCAGTTTGGGAAGTAGGGTAGAAGCCAAATGGTGCCCAGTTAAGGAGAGCAGGAAGCAGGAAGTGACCCACAGTGCGGATAGCTCCTTTAACAAGATGTGGGGAGGCCAAGAACCTAGATTTTTACCTCAGCACAGCAGCCTAGACACCAGGTGGATCTTTGTACTCAGGAGTAGAGGTCAGAGGCTGAGAGGGACAGATAGTGGACACAAGTTTCTTGAGGGTGGCAAGGCCTTGGGTGAACAGCACAGATAGGGAACCAGGGAGGAGGTGTGGGGGTCTTGTGGCCTGTGGAAGGCTAAGGCATGCGTGCACTTTGAAGGAGAGGGGGTAACAGGATGAAAGTGCTGCAGGCTGCTGACATGGTCCCTCGGGCTGTCTTCCTATTCAGGGTCTGGAAGAAGAAGAAGGTTCAGCAGCAGTGGGAGCCGGGGAGGACGCAGTGCCCGTCAGCACTGCTGCGGAAGTACAGTCAGGCAGTGTGTCCACTGTGGAGCCCAACCTCACCATGTCTACCCAGAGCCCCAGGGAGGAGACCACGCTGGTGAGGAGCATGAAGCGCCGGGACAGCTGCTGACCTCTGCACGGGGGCTCAGTACCTGTCTGACTGAAGGCTTGCTGTGGGGTAGAACAGGGGATCAGTGGGAACCCTCTGCCCTCATCAGCAGGGGCCAGGATCCAGGTGACAGGCGGTGGCCCCTGTGTGTGGGGGAGAGGTAATGGGGTGACCTGAGCTGTCAGAAGGCTGGGTGGAGGGGTCAGGGCACAGCAGCAGGGAGAGCCTAGCCAGGGCTGTTCAGTCCTGTGTGCCTGCAGTGCAGGGTACAGGCATGCCAGGGCCCTGGGCAAGCCATGGTGTTCCTAGAATGGCACCCTCCAGTTCTTCACTGTAAGGACTCAAACCCAGCTGCCCATATCCGCTTCTGTGTTCTCACAGGCAGAACTCTCTTTTCGATCCCTAACACCTCACGTCCCAAGCATCGAGTGTCACTGACTTTTCTTCTCAGACCCATTATAAACTCTCCTGCTTTCACCCTCTGGTGTCTGCTCCTGGACTGAGGCCCTTCCTGACCTCTCCATCTTCTCCTTTGACACCTCCCTGGAGTTTCAGCCCTCTCTTGGAAGCTGTCCGTCATCCTGACTGCAGACCCAACTCCCTGGAAGCCTTGCAGGGTCTCGGGCTCTTCTGTCCCTAGCCCCAGGTGTTCCGGCCTGTCACCCTTTCATTTTCTGAGCAGCCTCTTACTTCTCACCATGCCAGGCCCCTCCTTTCTGCTGAGAACCTCCCCTCCTCTCCTTCTTTCCATTCTCGCTTGTCCTGTAGTCAGCTCAAACACTGCTTCCTCAGGAAGGGGCCATTCCACACCGGGAAGACCCCCGTACTTGTCTTTAGGAGGCTCATCACAGCTTAGATCCATCATAAACTTGGCCACTAGCTTGTGCCTGGCTTTCCCAGCAGGATGTATGCTCAGTGAGGACCAGGATCACAGACAGCTCTCTTACTGTTCCACTTCCCTCCTTACTGGTAGTCAATGAGCATTTGCCAAGTGAATGCATGGAGGGACAGCAGGCCAACAACCCTGCCTCTGAGGGCATCCACACACCTCCCCAGTCTGTGTCACACTGGTCAAGCAGTCTCCCGGCGCTGGCCTAACGTCCATGTGGGGAAACTGCAGTGGGAGCCGGGACTGACCAGTGATAGGGTGCTCCAAGCCATCTGGCAGCTGTGTGGATGATTTCAGCACTTTTCTTCTTTTCCTTTCTCTTCTGTTTCTTCTCCTTTTTCTTTAAAGACAAGCTACAAGGGATCAGGTCCCAGTTCCACTGCATCTCACCTGAATAGAAACCAGAACTTGAACAGAACTGCCTGCAAGTCGAAGTAGTAAGCGCCCCATTATTGGAGACATGCAGACTAAGACCAGATAAGAACTTGGGTCAGGAGTGCCCTGAAAGGGGTCTGTGGACTGAAGTACAGTTCTCAGTGTGCAAAGGGAAAGGAGTGAAGGAGCTGCCAATGATCTGCTGGCCCTGGGGGGTTTCCTCCCTGCAGACGCCTGCACACTCCCTGAAGCTGGGCATGGGTCACCTGGCACCATCTCTCATGCCAGCTTTGTTTCAGGGTCCAGGCGAAGAATGGTTAACCCCGGCCGCAGCTGCCACAGAAGTGCCCCTCAGCACTTTTGGAGGAGAGGAAGCCAGTGGAGTCTCTGCGGACGACCTAGCTGTCCTCCCACCCACAATGGCCCCTGCATATGCCAGCTGGGCCTCCACTGATGACCTGGCTCTTCTCACATCTACAGCGGCCCTAGGACAAGTGGTCACCTCTGTAAGTGTCATCTGGCTCACAGGAGAGAGAGGTCAGCATCCTGGGTCAGGAGCAGCTAGTGGCCTCCACAGACATGCTGTCTATTTAGTTCTCTTAGGAGGTGTCTGCCAGATGGGGCAGGGTGCAGTGGCAGGAATGTGACAGAAGGGTGGGACATTGGGTTTTGTCCCTCACTGCTACCTCCTAGCTTTGACCAAGGGGAATTTTCTCAGATATAAGTGGCCCCTTGTGGGAGCTGAGCCCTTCGAAGAGATGTGATTTCTGTCAGGGCTGATGTAGGTATAAAAGTGTTTTGAAGTTGGACTTCACCATAGAAATGAATCATACCACACCCACCCCACCCGACAGCCCTGTGGACAAGGCAAAGGCATTCCTCATGTTGGTTTTCCTCCCAGGCACCTGATGACGAAGAAGACTTGGAGACCCTGGCCACCACTGGCAAAGAGGGGACCAGCAGTGCTCCCCCTGATGGGCTGCCACTCCCGGTACCCTCAGCGGCTCCTGAGAGACAGGTCACGCTGGTGAGTGGTGCTCAGATGGACAGATTTGACTCAGCAAATACTACAGGGAAAGGAAGGCCAGCCCTGACCTTCTTGGACGTGGGTTCTGGTTTTGGTTTTCAAATTTGAGCATTTTATCATGTAGAGGTACAAGATCCCAACAATAACTAACTGTACTGTCGTGGGTTCTGGTTTTGGTTTTCAAATTTGAGCATTTTATCATGTAGAGGTACAAGATCCCAACAATAAATGCAACTGTACTGTATCCCTAAAATGTACCAATAAACTCAATTAAAGCTGAAAAAAAAATTGAGCATTTTAGGGCCTTCAGCCAAGGGACACTTGAGGAAACTGCAGTTTGGAGAGGAAATAACAGGAAGTAAAAATCAAAGGGTGTAGCCTTAGGTCCCAGACTACCTTTTTAAAATTGCAATGAGATCCTTCTAAGAAGCAGAGCTGTTAGAAGATGCAAACGCTGGCTGCCAGGCTGGGCCAGGCTGGTGAAGTGGAGGGAAGTGTTGGTGGGTGGTGGGGGCCTGTGAAGTTCTCTCCTGCACAGATTCCTCGGATTCTGGCATGCCACTGTGTGACCTTAAGCAAATTCTTTTGTTTCTCTGAGCCTGTTCCTGTGTGTAAATGGGAGTAACTGAGGTTAGGTCAGAGCATGTTGGGAACACTCTGTATACACATGAGATTATGTGCTGTAACTTTGTCTTTTAGATACGGGAAACCCAGCTGACTGTGGTAGTGCAGGCCTATAATCCCAGCTGTTTGAACCTGGGATCAAGGCTAGCCTGGGCAATTTAGCAAGAACCTGTTTCAAAATAAAAAATGGGGAGGAAAAAAATAAAAAGGAACGGGGGAGGACTGGGAGTGTAGCTCAGCGATCAAGCATATGTGAGGCCCCGGGTTTGATCCCCAGTACCACAAAACCAAAACCAAAACAAAACCCAAAAGGAAACTGTATTGTGGAATCCCGGGCTCCTGTGAAGCAGAGAGCTCCTCAAAGGCAAGTGGTTTTAGAGGAAGCCCTTAGCCTAAGCTTAGGTGGACTGGAGCCTGTGACCTGTGGCTCCTGCTCACTCAGGAGTGTCATCTACCCGGGATCTCATCTGTGAGAGTGCGGCGTGGTAGGAAGACCCCTGATGGAGAGCCAGGAGGCAGGGCTCCGGGATGCCCTGAGATGCATGGGCCCCAGCCTCCTGCTCACCACCCCTGATAAAGGAGAAAGGCTAGTGAGGGCACTGCGTTTTAACTCAGGGCCCATGAGATACACATGGGGGCTGAGGCGTGCTTAAAGCCCTGCAGAGTCTGAGTCTAGTGCTGACCTAGAGAGTTAGAGGGCTGGGCTGGGACACCAGGGGTCAACCACAGGCAGCTAGCAGAGGAGCCGCCAGCTAGCTGTGATGGCAGTACAGTGTGACTCCCTCACGGTGCCCCCACCTCATGACATGTTCAAGAACCCCAGCCCAAGCTCCTGCGTGGAGCCGCAGCAGGCACTCGTAGAGCCTTCTTTTTTTTTTAAATTTAAGAGGCCAACAAGATCCCAATAACGGATGTAACTGTATTGTATACCTAAAATATACCAATAAACTCAATGAAAAAAAATAAATACAACTTAAGAGGCCAGTGTGTGCTGTGTAATGAGTTCAAGGGCAGCCTAAACCGCATAGTAAGACCCTGTCTCAAAAAACCAAACTAAATAAATAAATCTTATTATTTTTAAAATCTAAAAAAATTCAACCAAGGGGTTTTAAATGATATACGTGACCCCCACATGGCCATCATTTGGTTGAAACAGTTATCAACCTTTAGCGAGTCTGGCTTTATCTGTTCTACCTCCTACCACCATCGTCTTGAAGAGAAGGGGAAGGTTGGAGTCTTTTTCAAATACCCCAAACATCTCTTCTTTTAACTTGTAAGTCAGTCAGTGTGTATTAGTGATAGATTGGGGGGGTTGTTTTGCTTTTTGCACAGTCACATTGTCACTGCCCCTCTCACAGCGTTAACAGTAGTATCTTCACATTACTTAATTCCCTGGTGCTCTTTTTTTAAATGTTCTTTCCCAGTTAGATTGCTTGTCCGTGAATCTAAAATGTGGTTAATTTGTCTCAGATGTCTTCTTATCTCTAGCTGTCTTTCCCCGCTTCTTTCTGCTATTGGTTTGTTGAAGAAGCTGGCTCAGTTTTCCTTATTTCTTTGTGTTTTCTGCCTTAAGAAGTTGGCCTGGTGAAGCCAGCTATGTTGCTGGGAGTGTTGAAGGTTTATTGCTTCTGGGAAACTCTTTGTTCACAGATATTAACAACCATAAAACTCCATATTAACAACCATAAGTTAACCACTGTAAAACTGCAACCAGAAACTTCTATTCCCTAGAATTCATCCTGATGGAGATAGTCCAACATGTAAAAACACTTTGTTTACAAGGATGTTAATTTCATAGTAGATGTTAATGTTCATAGTAGAGAAAAATTGGGCATGAACTAATTAGCAAGCAATTGGTGATTCATTGAATTAAATTATATTCAAATAACGGAACATTATGCAGCTCTTAACTTTATTCTTATTAGTATTTAATGATAGAGGACATACCCAGTATATCATGTTAAATAAAAGAAGCTGGTTATAATCTTGAGTCCATTGTGTGGTCTTAAGTATTTAAAAATATTCACATGCAAGAACCCTAGAAGGAAATACCCTCCCTAAATATTAGCAATTGTTGCCTCAAAGTGGTTGTAACTGTGGGAGGTTGGTAGATTTTTCATTATTTTGATGTTTTCCACCACGGGGTGCTTATGACGTTTACAACAGATTTTTTTTTTTTGAAAACTCTAAGTGGGGGGGAGAAAAGGAGAGGTGAAGGGGAACTCAGTGTGACATCCTTGCACGTGATTGATGAAGACAGTCACCGTTCAGTGCCTGTGCTGGGCACCTGTCCTGAACTGAAATGGACTCCCTGATCCCTGAGCAGAAGGTGTAAAAGCACAATAATGACGGCAACACAGGAGGCCCTCTGTGCTGCTTTTAGGGTCATTTTGAATCTCAGAGTCACCGAGGTGGTACAGCTCAGTGCGTAAGAGTTTGCATCCAAGCCTGGCCCTGTCCACATCTGCCACACTGTACCTCTCCTGTCTCCATACATGGAGTGGGGATCTTAATCACAGTGCCTTCCTCTTGATTTGTTGTGAGGATTAAATGGGTTAATACAGGGGAAACCTTGCCTAGCACATAGGATGTGTTCAAATTAGCTAAATAGAATTATTTTGCAGATGAGGCCGAGAGGATTCGGTTTTTGCTCCAGGTCATACAGTTCCCAGGGGTCAAGCAGGATGAGAACTTAGGTCTCTGGGCTTTCTGCCTTGGTTTCTGCACTGACCACTGTCATCATCTTCAGACCGGAGGCAGAGTTGTTTAGCAAAGCCCACAATGGTTGAAATAGTCATTCCATTTATAAGGACTGATGAGGTAGTCAATCTTTTATGGAACATGTGGCAAACATTGCCCTTAAAATGAACTTATATACTCTTAAATCTGTGTCGTGGAACACTAGCAAAGGATGAGACTGTCAAGTCTGGATGACTCCAGGTGCCATGGTCTTCCCATAGTCACTCAGTAAGTAGATACTAAGAGCCTGTGGTCTTCTACGTACAGGGATGGCAGCCGTGACTATGGTCCCTCACCTACTCCAGCCTAGTGCCCAACTGGCTGGCCAGTGAAGGAATGTCATCAGGGCTCAGCAGCTGCATGTTTCAGAGACTTTGTGACCAAGTTTTAACCAAATCTTCTTGTTTCAGGCTCAGCTAGAAAAGGAAGGACAGTCTGGACCGGAAGGAGAAAAGGTTCGTGCTATGATTTTCTGGAGAGCACTGACTCCCAAACAAGGGTGCTGAGCATGTTATTTGGGGTTAATTTAGTTCGTTTCAATCAAGGTAAGGACAGAAGCAGCAAGAGGACTGAGCCTCAAAGAGAAATCCCAGAACAGCACAGGAACTGTGCTGACTCTTCCTAGCAACAGTGACCTTGACCAACTCCCTTGGCCGCTGAGGGCCTCCCTTTCTTGTGCATGACTGGGTCCTTCCGATGCAAGTATTCTTGTGTCAAGCTGTGTCCCTCATTTTCCTCCTTGGAAAGTGTTGGGTTAAACAAGCTCCCAAGAACTATAGCCTTGGGCTTGCCTCCTAGCAGCTAGAGGACCGCAGGACATTCCCACATCTTCGCTTTGGATTCCTCATCTATAAAACGGGAGTGGTGGCAATTTCCCTTCAGAAGAGTAGCCAGGATAAAATGAGGTGACATTTATGGAAATACTGTCTTATATCAGTTAGAGTAGAAAGATAATGAAGTCCTCTTACTAAACTGCTAGTTGGAAAACCCTTTCCAAAGGGGCGCATCACGGTGACCCCAGTCTCTGGTCCCCAGAAAGTTGCACTCAGGGATCCTCCCCTTCCCTAGGCAGCATTGCTATGCTGGCTCTGCCCTGCTGCCCCTCCTCAGCTCCCTTGGCTTTGTGAAGGGGGTTTTTAGGGAAGATACTGCTCTAGCCCTGGGACTTCAGGAATGTGTCCACCTGGATGTGGGAAAAGAACACAGGCCGACAGAGTGTTGTCTTTCTTTTTCTCTGCCTCTGGCTACTTCATATTTTGGGATTTCACTGTTAATATCTCCACTGTCCTTTTGTCTTTCTTCACACACAATCTACATCTTAAAGATGGCCCCTTTCTATGGAGAGCAAGGGGATAGTTTGTGGTGATGATTTATTCCTGGACCATTTTGTTCTCTTTAGGACAATGCTGGGGAGGGGGTCCCTGGTCCTTGGAATTTCTGGCCCTGCTGGACCCACACTGTATAGAGACAACCCCCAAAATATCTTCCAGTTAAAACTCAGGGCTTCCTGCCTCTACTAGAATCTTGCAGTGCACTCAGCATTTCTATCCTGCATTCAGTTCAACACGTCCCAAGCTGAACCCTCACCTTTGGCCCAGACCTGCTCCTCCTCCTGGGTACCCTACCTCTGAGAATGGTGCCCCATTTATCTTGTGAGCAAGAAGGAAAACAGAAAATGTCCTCAAGGGGTCTTCTCCCTCTCACTCCCCATCCAGGCTGTCCCTCGGTCTCCCCAAGTCTAGCCTGTGTTGCTTCCTCTCCCCAGGGACAGAGAGGACAATAGCCTGGTCCCTGCCTCCTTCACCATCCCCTCTGCTACCCCACACCCCTACCACATGATTTCCATGTACCTGCTCTTAGCTCACACCCTGCTCTTCCTGGAACCTCTCTGTGGGTGCTCAGTACACATCCATTGAGTGATCCAAGGAAGCCTTGCCTGCTTCCTCTCTTCAGGAGCTCAGTAACAAGAAAGCATTTTGAAAATTCCCTTTGCTTCTTTGGAGGCCTTTGTGCATGATGACAGGTGCATACCGAGTGCCTTTGCAGTGCCAGAGCTTGTGCTGGACTCTGGGCATTCAGGAGGTCACATATTTGGGCCTGTGCTAGTCTAGAGGGGCTGACACACACACACCAACAACTAAGCTTTGAGTCAGGTGGTCCTAGCACCTAACTGGGCCCTTGAACAGGGGCCAGAGGAGCCCAGAAGAGAGAGGTGACTTCTCCTGGAAGAGGGGTACAGAAGGTTTCATAAAGGAGGCAACTGCGAAACTAGGCCTGGAGTGGGGTTTAAAGGTGGGCAAGGAGGCTGAGAACTGGACACTCTGGACTCAGATATGGCGAGCTATGAGGGAGGAGGGAAGTTGGAGCGGGGAGAAAAGCCAGAGGGAGAATGAGTGGCAAAAGTTAAAGTGCCGTGACATAGGGAGAACTTCTAGCAATGTGGCTGTCCTTGGAGACTTGGAGCCCAAGCTGTGGGAATTTCTTTTCTCTCCAGGTGGGCGCTGAGGAAGAGGGCTCTGGCCCGGGCTGGGGCCTGGACATCGGCTCTGGCTCTGGGGACCTGGCGGACCGAGAGGAGTCGCTAAGAGTGAGTGTGAAGGGATCCCACCTGGTGTCTGGGCCTAAATTCAAAATGACCAAGAGGGAAAGATGTGAGAGCGGCAATGATGAAAGTAGACAGCCATTGTTGAGGACTGCTGGTGATGAGCTCTGGGAGATTTGTTAGTCTTCTCTTTACTGTTGTGTACATTTGAAAATTTCCGCTTTAGTAGTTCTGTCTTATTTTAAGTGAGTGTGAGTCTGGATTTATGTGAAGAGCCTCCTCTTCTCCCTTTGTGCCTTTCTCTGGAAGCAGCTCCAGCAGCAAGTTTGCCCCAGACCTTCACCTCCACACATTGCCTCTGCCCCACCCAACGCGTCTCGCTCTTTTTTCTTTCTTTTTTTTTAAAGGATTTCCTTATTTTTATTAGTACAGTATTTGTGGTGCATACTGTTTGCATTCCTTGTGGAAGTTGGCACGTGTACCTAATGTATCTTAACTCCTCTTTTCATCCCTTTGCTTTCCTTCCTTCCCCCGTCACCCATCTCTTGATCCTCTTCCTTTGGGGGCGGTGTTTGCAATGTATAATGTTTACATTCCTTGTGTGGAGTTGGTACACGGACCTCACACGTCTTAATTCCTTCTTTCATCCCATCGCTCCCTTGCCTCCCCGGTGTCTGGATGGCCTTTGCACTCTGACCTCCACACTCTGCTTGCAGTCCTCCCTACCCTTAGGCAGCCCCCTCCATCCCCCTTCTGTCTGCTCTTCCTTCCTTCTTGGAGCCTGTGGCCCTCCCTGGTCTCCTGCCCAAAGCCCGGCTCTTCCAGTCTCTCTAAATCACCACCAAGGGAGCACCTCCCTCTCCAGCTGCCTCTGTTGCTCTGTCTCCAGGCCCAGCCTTATCTCTAGCCTTCTCCGAGCACCCAGTTAGGAGCTCTGTTTGGCTGCCCGCCCCTCTGCCCACTCCTTGTAGCCAGGCTGGAAGGGCTCTGGTCCTATCGACGAAAGGAACTGGATCCTAGTGTATCCTCTCGGGACCTTCTGGGCTGGTGAAATCAGCCAGCCTGGCAAGAGACTGTACAGACATGTATACTTCAGGCAGAGCCAGTCTCGAGGCTGAACAATAGGCAGCGTTTGACCTCACAGCAAATCAGAAAGCTGAATCAGCCACAGCTCCTTTGGGCAGCCTAACCAATGGGATCTTTATTGTATATATCTATACAATAGATCACACGATGTAATGGGCTCAGAACACCTTAGATTCAGATCCCAGCTCTTACACGTACAAGCCGTATATGGAGCTGAGTCCTTGAGTCACATCTTCTCAGTGTGCCTCAGTCTCCCCAGTCTCCCCATCTGCTAAGTGGGCACACCAGTTCTCATTCTAGAGTTGTTCTAAGGAATGGAGAGAATATGCAAGCATACACGCTCAGTATACATTCCTCCCCACCCCCTTGTTTCTAACAGAATGCCTTGTTTTCTAGGGCCCCCCAGGCCCCCCAGGACCACCTGGCTTACCTGGGATGCCAGGAAAACCAGGAACTAATGTTTTCATGGGACCTCCTGGCTCTCCTGGAGAGGATGGAGCTGCTGGTGAACCTGGGCTCCAGGTAAGCAACTGAAGTCCCCTCCTTCTCCCTGTGGCCAGGGAGGGTCCCAGCACTGCGTAAGGCCGGGAGAGATCAGCTAGCTAACATTTGTGAGCAAAACTTCTCCTCATCTGCATGGTTGCTGAGCCTCCTGGGAAGTAGCACCCTATCCACGTTGTTTCCCTGCTTCGTGGTGGTGGCCAGTGTAGGAAACACAGACTCACGCTGGACTTTGGAACCATGGGACACCAGAGCTGCCCTGGGTGGGAGCCCCATGGAGACCATCCAGTCCGCACCTGCCCTCTTGTCCCCACAAAGGAGGAAATGTGACCCAGAGACTGAAGGATGCTTGTCCAAGGGGCATAGCCAGTGGTCCACCAGCTGGGCCAAGACTGGTGCTCTTACTAGGCCCTGACGCAAGGCCCTGGGCCTGACCACCTCACCCATCTCCCAAGCTGCCCCTCTTCTGGGAAGGGTTTGTATGACTCTTATTGGCGATGTTGTGGGCTGACTGTCTTTAATGTTCCTCAGGGCCCTGAAGGAGAGCCTGGACTTGATGGAGCTGCCGGGCATCCTGGGATGAAAGGGGAAAAGGTACGGGGAAGCTGGGAGCATTCTAACACTGGAGGCCACCAGAGCCACACTCTCTGGCCCCTAAAGGTGATCTTGCCCCTTCTAAGAGTGACTTTGTGATCCCCTACTGATCATCTCTGCTGGATGTCCCCACCGTGGGACTCATTATGCCAGACATGTGTTCAGTATCTTCCCAGCCTGCTCCTGTCCATCCCAGCTTTGATGAACAGTGCTGCCATCTACCAGATGACTTGACTCAGACATGGAGCCTTCTCCAGCTCCTCCTTCCCCTTTCTCCCCTACCACCTCCACATCTCCCACCTTTCTCTCCACCCTGACATGACCTTCCTTTCTTCTTGCCAATACCGTCGGATTGGGCATCTTACTGGTGCCCATGCTCCACCCATCTTCTGTCCTGCACCTTGGCTGGTGCAGCTTTCCATAGCGGGCCCTCATCAACCACCACTCTGTCCTCTGTCTGCCAGACAGAGCCTTCATGCCTTTCCTGATGTGCAGCTGCCTCTTCAGCTTATCGACCACTCTTCCCTCACATGGCCCCAGGCAGAGGCCAGCCCTGCTGAGAGGCTTGGGTATGCCCCTCACTACCAGCCCACTGGTGTCCTTCATCTACACTGTCCTTCGTCTGTCTGTCCCTCATCCTGTCTGGGATGTCCTTTCCCTTTTCTCATCTTGCAGGGCCCAGTTCAGATATAGTAGTTCCCCTCTTGTAAGGGCCTTTCTAAGGCCCTCAGTGGATGCCTGAGACACAGACAGTAACAAACCCTAATATGTGCTATGTTTTACCTAAACAGACATACCTATGATAAAGCTTAGTTCATTAATTGGGCACTGTAGGAGATTAACAATAATAACTAATAATATAATAGAACCATTATAACAAGGCTTCCCTGCTTTGGCACTTAGGGCTGTTATTGAGTAAAATAATACCTCAAACACTGCAGTACTGCAATAGTCAAGCTGATAAGCAGGATAGCTACGAAATTATTGATGGCTAAGCAGCCTATACAGTGTGGGTGCACTGGACCAAAGAGATGATTCATGTTCTAGGCAGGATGAGTCTGGACAGCACAAGATTTCTTCCTGATACTGAGAATGGCACACAGTTTTATAACTTGCAAATTGCTTATTTCTGACATTTTTCTACTTCATATTTTCAGGCTGTGGTTGACTGAATGGCTGAAACTGCAGATAGTGTGGGTCTGTGAGCTGGGGTGGGGCACTGCTGAATATCCTCTGGGAAACTCTCCCTATGAGCAGAAAATCCCCTCCTTCCTGCTTTCTCTCAGCCTAGTGTTTAAGCTGCTGGGTACCTTCTTAGCCAATGATGCTGAAGTTGTTAGCTGACCTGTCTGTCCCTCACCCCCACCCTGACATAGAGACGTAGTAGTCTCTGTATCCTAAGGACCTAGCACAGACCTTCGTTTATGTTTGACAAATACCTGAAGCTTCCTTCAGTCACCATTCTGACCTGCCATTCCCAGAGTCCAGCCTGCCTGCCTGCCTTCATTCTGTGCCTGTGGGCCTGTCCTGTGTTCTGTCTGTAAGCCTTGATGGTGCTGGGAAGGGAGAATTTTCACCCCTTTTCCTTACCAGCCTGCTTGAGATAAGATAAGCAGTTCTGGCAAAGGGAGGCCATAAAAATGAGGAGCCTTGTACTAGCGTTGCAGTGAGAGGTATCTACAAGAGTTCTCTAAGGTGGGAGGACTTCTTCCTACTGGGGAGAGAGCTGGGCCTCTGTGCCCTCCTTGCTCCATGAAGATACTGAAATTACCGACTGCCTAGACCCCGTGGTCACTGAGTTAAATTTCGTTTCTGTCAGCTCTCAAACATGTTTAATTCAACAGTAACCCAGTTTTTATGCAAATCGCATTTCTCAGAAAAAGAAACAACTGTTGAGCCATAGAGAATTCATTTTACATATACCAGCTTTTTCATCAGAAATTAAATTTTGCAGGAAGCCCCACTGTTCTTCTTACAAGTTCCCCTGGCCCCACCCAGCCCTCCCGCACTCCATCTGGAATCTGCAGGTACCCTTGCCCGTGTCTGCACACAAAACTCCCCACAGGTGGCTCTGCAGCTTGGGGAATTAGCTGCTTGGATGAGCATTGAGTGGCAGCTTCACACTGTTGGAGTGACTGTTAGAGATGTCTTGTTGGTTGGTTGGTTTGCTCCTAAAATTTGTTCTGAGTCCCAGTGTGTTCACTGTGTGTATGTGATATTTTTTAAAAGGACTAGGAAATTTGCGTTTCGAGAGCTGGAGGAGAACAAAAAGTACAAAAAGGAAAGAAAATGAGCGATCTTGGTGCAGTTACAGAACGCATCGTCCAATGAGACATTTGATCCTTGATTCCACAGTCCCCCTCCTTCCACTTGCACACCTCCTGTGGCAGGGTCTCATTCCCTACCTGGGCAGCCTTCATGGTTGGATGGATCCCTTGCAGAGAAGTTTTCCTCATGCCTTAATGAAGTTGGCTGCCCTTCTTATTCGCAGAACACGAGACCAGTCCAGGTAGTTATCCAAAGTGTAGGTTTCCCCTTGAAGAATAGGGTTCTCTTCATTTAGCTAGATACTATTATTATAAAAAATAGGATAGTCATCAAAATGGTAGAAACATTCCTTAATTTATTTTCCCCAAATTAAGGTGAGTAGCTAACTCTAAGATCTTTAGCTCAAGAAAGGATGAATGTGAGTGGCCTGCCTTCTAAAAACACTTGGGAAGGGATGCTGAGGAACTTGCTGGAGGACATGGACAAGTTTTTTTTTTTTTTTTTTTTAGATAAACAACAACGGTCACTGTTTGCTTTTTTCAGAATCTAGGTCATTTGTGTTTTTCTTAGTTCTCAGAAAGTACTGGGACACCCATTCAGGAAAGAATCTATGCTACAAAATTTTCTTCAGTACCCAGAATTGCTAAGAAATATTGCCCTCCTAGGAACTGGCTTGGAGTAATCCCAACATTTCATTGTAAAATCTGCTTCTATCTTCACCCTTAAGTTGTAAGAGAAATATAAAAAAATCATTACCACATCCCCTTTCTCCAAGTAACCCCAAACTGCCTTTGAACAATTCTGGAATTCTTTTATAATAAAAGGCAGGGCCACCTCTGAGCAGAGGCTGAGATTATAGTACAGTGGTAGAGTGCTTGCCTAGCACAAGCATTGCCTTTCATTAGATCCTCAGCAGTACAAGAAAAAAGAGAAGGAGAGAGAGGAAAAGGAGGAGAAGGAAAAGAAGGAGAGGAAGAAGGAACAGCAGCAGAATCATTTGAGCAGTGAGCTGCTATTGCCTAGGATCCAATAAAGAGTTCAGAGCTTGTAACAGCATATATAAATGAAACCACATTATTTGCCTGATTTCCTTTTTTTTTTTTTTGTTTTTTCCATCATCAAATGTCTTTGGCAGGACATCTGGATGATAGGCCTCCCTAAAACTGAACAACCATTGTCAGTTGTTGTGGATAACAAACTGAAGTTGTCAGTATTGCAAACACTATGAGCAAGACACTCATAACCTGAGATACCACAATAGAAAAAAAGATCTACACATCTGTTCTGTTCTTTGATGACCCTGTGTGTTGAATTGTAGTAATGGCTTTACTATTCCAGTTCATTGTAATGAACCAAAAAGTCTAATGGATTTTAAATCACAACTCCATAACATGCAGCATGGCTGTACCTCGTTCCTTTATGAAGCTTCCATAGCAGAGTTTTCAGTCCACATTGCATCACTTAGAGCTACACTTGCAGCTCTGCTGGGTTGGAATTCCAAGACAGTTCACAGTCTACCAGAGCAGAAGCTGTCTCTAACTTAGGGATGAAGGACTCAGCCATTCCCATTTTGGAAGTAAGGAGTCTTTCCTGAGCCTTTCATCAGAGCTCCAGCTTTTGCCCAGTCTGTTCATGAAATTTCCGATTAGGTAGGCTCTTCCGTCCTCAAACTGATTCACTCAGAGAACTGGCGGTCACCGTATCTGCAAGCCAGTGGGATGTCTACTATTTCCATCTAAAGCCATCTATTTCTGAGATAAATCATTCTGTTTCAGATAAATCAGAGTCCAAAATATTTTCTAGGACTTCCTCTGAAACTGCTACAAGATGTACTCTTGACTTTAAAAAAAATCATGAAAGCAATTGTAAAAAATAGTTTTTCACTCTATAATCATAATTTTCTTTAATGAGCTCAACTGGCAAGACAACTATTGGGTTCTCAGCAATGAGACTACTTTAGCTTCAGTGTCACAGTAGCCCGGACAGTGGTTCGATTTATGGCTGGGAAGAAGCAAAAAGGTCTGCACTTCCCTCAAGGACAGATGGCAGCAGGTGATGGCACAACTGATCACACAGAGAGAAGCTGACACAAGAAACTGGCAGCAAAATAGGAACTTTGTTATTCGAGTCACGTTTCTGCCCTCAGTTTCTTCCCAAGAGTGCTGGCCAGAGGGAGGGAAGAGGGAAAAGATTAGCTACTTCCTTCACCGAGGACCTCCCAGATAACCAGGGTGGCTCCTCCCCTGGCTCCCGTGCCACCTCAGGAGCCCCGCGGAGGGTTTAAGGGCAACAGTTCTGTCACTCACCTGCCTAGGAGTCTCATTCTCTTCCCCAGTCTGTCCTCATTCCCAGGCCAAGGGCTGGGCAGAGTCTTCAACCACAGGACAAAGGACCTGCCACTGTGAGAGCCAGGGCCTATCCCATGCTCAGGCTTGCCTCAGACAGGAGGCATTTGTCTTGCCCTGGCCTTTTTTCTATTCTCTTTATTCTCTCCATCTGCTTCTCCAATTAAACAGATATTGGGACTCTGATGCTGTCTTTTTATTGCTCTTTCTAGGTGCTATCCTCCCGTGCTGCTTTCTATGAGAATCCTGTAGCCTGAGCTTTCCTATTAATTCTCCCTCCAGGTGTGTCTGTCCTGTTGTTCAATCCCTCTACAGAGTTCTTTATTTCAACACTTACATAAATTTACTTCCAAGATCTCTAATTGGTCCTATTTCATACCATTCTTATAATAGCTCGTTCTTGTTCTATGGTTATAACAACTCTCTTCTCTTTGAGAATGTATGTATATCGTATATTTTGAAAGCCCAAATGGGGCTACTTTTGTCATACTATTTCCTTCCCTGGATATTTTGTTGTGTTTCCTTCCTAGTGTTGCTTTTCCTCATATTCAGTGTTTCTTGTTCATGTGTTTGCTTTTGAAATTGGGATGCTGCTTTTTGACTATCTTCTGCTTCTGTCTGCACAGAACATTGGGGAAGTAGACTAAGTAGCTACTTCTGAGCTTTATGAGTCTCAGGAAGGGGATGGAAAGTGTAGGATATTCCATCAAGCAGGGTATGTCAGTGGCAGATCTGAGTTTTGGGTGCCTGTGGACCTTCCAGGGGTCCCAAATCACAGGCTCTACCCTATCCGACCCAGTAGGAGCAGAGGGGCAGTTGTGGGAGCTGGATAGCTATCCTGCTGCAGAATTTCAACCCATCTCCCATCAAAGGCCTGTAGGCCATCCTGCTCCCGGCTTTCTCCACTGTCTTGTGGGATGCTTTTCTTCCTGTGATTTCTCACTGTGGCTAAGGCCTCTGTCTTCAACTTCCCAACTGTCTCCCTTTGACATCCCGATTTCAGGTCCAAAGTGACTCCCTTCTTATTTTTGAGCACAGATATTTTAGAACTATGCTGTCTTTCCTGTGGATTTGATACAGGAAGGGAACTGTAGCCCAGGAAAAGGGGAGCTGAGGGCACATGGCTTTATATGGCTGTCACATCATGATCATGTTGCTGTCTTCTGCATGACCATGCAATGCTGGCTTATTTCTTGCATTTGTAGTTTCCTCCAAATTATCCATCTGGGCTCCCCTACTACTATCACCTAATGTAGGGACCACTCTTTTCTACCTGCCCCTGTGGGCTCCTTGCTCTTCTGGAGTCTTATTTCGGGCTTCTTTTGGTGGGATCCATGTCTTATCCCCCAGAAACCATAATTGCGTGGTTCCTTCTGGGGGTGGATGTGTAAGCTGTTCCTGTGAAACCTCTACACTTCTGTCCCCTGGGAGCCACTCTGGTTAGCTTTTGATCTTTAGATCTTCCCAGAAGAGAATCAGTCTTCATTCTCCATATTTCTGAAAGTCTTGGGGATTCATGTCAATTCTTGAGCCCCTTGTCTTGGTCTAGAATAAGGGAAGTACCCACCACCTCTGCCATGGGAGGGGTGGGAAAGAGGACCAGCTCAGTGTCCTGACAGCTCTCTGAGGAATTCTGTGATCTCTTCCCTGACTCATCTCCAACTTCTCCGGTTTGCTCTCAAGACATGGAATGAGCTAGCAGTAGAAGAATGGTTTTCACAAGCTTTCAGCATGACTCACCTAACAGACTGCCACCTATTACAGTTTGCTTAGAGTAGAGAAGTCAGCCAAACCCCTGAATGTATTCTGTTACTTCAGGGTCCGTAGTTCCGCATTCTCTTCTGAACATACGTAATGAAAACATATACTTGTTTTTGTGTTTTTCAGGGAGCAAGAGGGCCTAATGGCTCAGTTGGTGAAAAGGTAATGCAGAGCAGCTTTCTTCCCCCTCCTCACCTGTCTTGGGTTTGCTATCATTGCTCTCAGACAGTTAAGCTGAAGTGCTAAACACATGAATGTCACAGAGCAGTGGGAAACATACCCTAGAGGAATTGCTCAGGGCATGCTGGCCAGCTGGGGATGGTGGGGAGTGAATACCCTGCGATATTTTCCTTTTCTCACCCCCTCCTTTTGAATGCATTCAAATGAGCACATCAACTTCTCTCCAAGCAAACTGTCCATTAGCAAGAAAGCTGTTTCTGCACCATTGAGTGATATCAGTCAGAGAATTCATCAAACTTGTTAACTTTAAAGAGTGATATCCAACTCAGGTGTGTGTGCCGTTTCTTCCATGAGTAAATCTGGGACTGGTGATCAGCCTGTTCTGTTCTTTACAGGGTGACCCCGGCAACAGAGGCTTACCAGGACCCCCAGGGAAAAATGGACAAGCTGGCACCCCTGGAGTCATGGGACCTCCAGGGCCTCCCGGACCCCAAGGGCCCCCAGGTCCTGGATGTACAACGGGACTTGAATTTGAGGTACTCTTCTCCCTTTCTGTGGTTAATTCATGATGTGCAACACAGATTTTTGGAAAGAGCAGCTCACTGAATGCTGATCCGAGGGCAGGGGCAGTGTTGATCCTCTCTGGGCTCCGAGCTGCCAACACCCCACTTGGCACAGGTATGTGCTGAAAAGTCGGATCTGAAATTTTCATTCTTTCTTCTTCCCTAGGATACCGAGGGCTCAGGAAATATCAGGCTGCTGAGTGAACCCAGAATCTCTGGGCCAACCGTGTCCAGTGTAGGTTGACTTTTGAAACCTTCCTGTAAGGATTATTCTGCTGACACATCGGAGCGAGGAGGTGGTGGGGGGCTGAACTGGCTCTCCTCCTTCCAGTGATTCATCCCCTCTGTGCTGTCAGCCTCTGGCTGTGCAACGGGGAAACCCTATTGCCTATGAGGTGCTCTTTTTCACCTATGGCTCTGGGGACCCCCGCAGAGTTTTGCATGAAATACTACGTGGGAAAACTTGAAAATCCTCTCTCTCTCCCCCACTTCCTTACCTCAAAGCATCTCTGCTTCTTTGCTGCCTTCCCGCTGCCCCCTTCAATACTCACATTTTGCCCCATTGTAAAGCCCTGTGCTCCCTACTGCATCTCTTCCCAGGAGGTGTGGTCTGTATTTCCTGTGATGCATGCTGTCACAAGTAAATCTGGGGCCACCCCTCAAGGTCTTTGTCCCCTAAGACCCGGAGCCACACCCAAAAGAGAAGAGCATGGCGCCTTCTTTGATTGAATGTTCAGACATCCGCCTCTCCGGGTGCAGAGGGCTCCGGCAAGGGTGGAGAGGACACTCCCTGGTGTTGGGGAGAGGACCTCCAGTCCCTCACTCCCACTGGGGGTTCCTTCCTTCAGTTCCACAAGAGGAATTTGCCTTTTATCTTTTGCTGCCATTTCTTGGGACAAAATCCACACGAGGAGCTAAAGAGTGACAATAAAATCCAAGGATAAGTGAAGAGTGAACAAAGTAAATAGAAGAAAACTAAAAATATCGATCTTCTTGTTTATTTTGCCAGGGTCTCAAAGGAGAAAAAGGAGACCAGGGACCCAAGGTAAGGTCACAGATCTGAGGTAAAGGCTGGGAGAACCTCCCAGGCTAGTGGTGGAAATGTGCAGAATATTCTTATACATGCACAATTACTTTTTTCACTTTTTACTCCTGTAACCAGGGTGAAAGAGGGTTGGATGGAGTCAGCACTGTGGGACCTCCAGGACCCAGGGGTCCCCCTGGGCAGATTGAGATCTTGTCTAGTGTGAGTATCCCCCAGGTCAGAGCTTGGTTATGTGTTTTCTGCCTTTGCTCAAGGAGCGGGAGTAAGTGGTCCATCACTTCAGGGCTTTGGGCTGCTGTACACAGCCAGACATAGTGTCCACCTGCCAGCCTGCTTCTTCTGTCTATTCCTGGTGCCGCTGTTCTCTCTCAAGGCACTTCCAGAACTATCTCTTCTGCTTAGTAGCATTTGAGGTAAACTCAAAAAGCAGCGCAGGAGCACAAAAGCTATTAAAGTCTTGAGGAAGCCCTAGGTAGGCAGTGCTCATCTTCCTCAGGCAGCTTCTGAACAAGCTGAGAAATAAAGCCAGTGATGAAGAGGTACTCCCAGAGATCACCTTATTGCCCATAGACATTGCACTGAAGGTTTTTGCTCTGTGCACTCACCCTAAAAAAGACTTGCTTGCCAGGTATTAGGTGGGCTTCCTGGAGACACGCAGGTCCAAGAGAAAGCTGAGCACACCTGTGGATGTTTCCCAGAACTGCTATCCCTTCTTGTCAAGGAAACATCTTTGGACGACCCCTTTGGATGGATTGTTGCTGGAATGTTAAAACTAGAACTATCCCTACTCCACGTGATCTCCATACAAGTAGAGGGGAGCATTCTCTGCCAGTCCCCATCAACAAGGAAGTTAGTAAGGCATGCTTGTGACTTCATATTAAAATCCCCATCGTCATTCAGCAATGGCCTAATGACATGTCTGTCTCTTCCCCTTGCTCCTTGGGTCTCCTGTTCTTCTCTGTGTCCCCACTGCTGGGTGTCTAGGGCAGGCTTCATCACTGTCACCTGAATGAAACTTGAGGTGTCATTTAATTCTCTATTCCTGTCATCACTATTCTGGCACAAATACTCATGGGCACAGAGTCTGTATCAGGTGCCATGGATATAAAGATAGTGATGCTCAAAAAGCCCCCCGTACAGTCATGAGAATGGTTGTGTCAGGGTGGGAACAAGGGAAGAAAAACAGTTTGCAATGTGAGAAATCAGGGAAGATTTTCTGGAGGAAGTGACTTTGGGCAGGGCCTGCAAAACTGAGAAGGATCTTGCCAGGTAGGCATGAGGGACAGAATTTCCAGAGTTCAAGCATGAGGGACACCCTGAGCTGAAGCAGAGAATAAGACTGTGTGAATGTGCCTAGGACGCAGGGAGCTGGCTGAACGGGGCAGCAGAGGAGTGATGGAAATCTGGAGATGATGCTGGAATGTGTGCAGGCAGGGATCAGATCATGGTCCACTCAATATTGAGCCATTGTATTTTTTTTTTAGACTGTGACATTCTGAGAGCAATAGCACCATGCTGATAGACAACCAAAAGACAAAAAGTTCCAAATAGCTGGGAAAAGGATGAGTAGAATCAAAAGAACAACAACAAAAAAATAATATGATTTAAAAATACCGAGTGGGTAAGGCTGTGAGGAAATAGGTTCTCTCGTATGCTTTTGGTGCAAGTGTAAATTGTACAGCCCCTTTGGATGGCTCTTTGGCAGTCTGTTGAAACTAAAAATAGACATACTCCAGAATTTTTTGTGGAAAGATCTCCACACAGTATGGTTGAGTGAAAAAAGCAAGTTGAAGAATAATACATAAGCCTGATGCCATTTATGTAAACTAATCACATGAACACACACCAACACTGTATGCTTTCTGTGGGTGCATATATATTTAAAAAGAGAAAGGATGCATGTAGTGTGTCATTTAAAAGTTAATTAAAAGAGAAAAGTGACAAGGCAGAGCAGAGTTTTGGATAGAAAGTAGGAAGGACCAATGCATTTGGCATTGGCTTTAGGGTGTTACCAATGTGTGACATGCTGAGTGACTTCAATGAAAGCCTCATGGCCAGAAACAAAGCAGAACACATGCCATTCTTTGTCCTCATTGTCTGATTTTTCTCTTTTCAGTCTTTGATCAACATCACTCATGGATCCTGGAATCTCTCCGACATTCCTGAGCTCCTAGGGCCTCCGGTTTGTTTTCACTGCTATCCTACAGGGAGGTTTCCAACCCAGTTGAAACAATGCCACCTTGGCTTGGAATCTTTTAAGCTCTTTTTCTTTCTTTTTATTGAGTTTATTGGTACATTTTAGGTATACAGTACAGTTACATTCATCATTGGGATCTTGTACCTTTACATGACAGGTCTTGGTTCTCATTTTTTCCCCTTGTCCCTGCCCTCCCTTCACTCCCATTTTCAAACACTATTTCCATTTTTTCATTTTCTCATATGGAACCTTTTTAGCTCTTGATATGTAGAGCTGGAGTATATCAAAGTAGGACTGAAAGGGAACTTTGCATTTCTGAGGAGCTGCTGTCACATTACTTTGTGCAGAGTTTTGTCCAGTGCAGCCAAAGCTTTTGGTCCTGTGTGTCAGATAAAATGGAAATCAGAGAATCCTAGTAACAAACAAATTGATATCCTGCTTTTATCTGCATTGCCTCATTTCACAGAACAAGAAGAGCTACCCTTGTGGTAATGAGGAAACCGGAGCACAGGGAGAGAATGATTTGCTTTAGCCTTTCTAGCTCCACTTCAGAGATGAGGAAATTAACACACAAGAAAGTCTTGTTATTTCCACAGTTCCTCAGAGTTGACTCGTGGAATAACAGGACCTAGTAGGAAGGAAGCTTCCTGCTCCTACTACAGTAAATCCCCATTGTATCTGCTGGGAGCCAGGAAGAGAAGCTTTGGCTTGTGGAGCCTCAGGGTTACACCCCCTCTCCACCCCCGATTCTCTTCTGGATAGCGCTGTGCCACACTTTGGGCAGCTTATAGGAAGTAAGGAGTGTTAAACCGCTCTGTATGCTGTGGCATCTGTGTAAATCACCTTGGAGACAGAGCTCACACCTCTACATCTGTGCAATGCAGATGTCCACGAGGGCTGCCCACCTTGCAGATCCCAATGAAGTTGGCCTGCACATCCATCCATGCAGGATCTGCCCCAAGATTTCTGCAGATATCTGGAAGCCTCCTCTGCCCCTGGCTTGCTCCTTCTGTGGAGTATCACCTGCCTGTGGGTGACCTTGCTGTCTCTTCTGCACTGCACCTACCAGGCTCCCTTTTCTTGATCACTATTATTATAATACCATCCAAG